CCCTTACATGTACAAGTATGCATGTCATGTTTATAATTATACAGTCAGTGTACTTTTAATTCATGTGAAATATACTACTGTATACACTGCAACACACTACATGTTTGTGAAAACATTGACAATTTAAGAAGTCCTTGAATGTTATCTCCTCTTATCACCTTCCTATTACTTGATCAGTTTTCCTGTCAGTCTACTTTTTACAATCCTTCCTATCAAACATGCGTACCTGTAGGTCTTTCACGATACATTGAGTTCTGATGTTATGTTATCTTTAGAATTAGGGCATGTTTGGGGATGTCACCAAATTATCAGTGACTGAACAGAATGTACAATTGCCTAAAAGAGGAACATGTGGTGCTGCTGGTCAATACCTGATATCACTGGATATTTGACCGATAACTGACCCCCATACTGCATGACCCAAATACAATGCATTATGTGTTAAATATATTGTAAAGCAATTCTAATCCGATATCCTATGTGTGTATTTAAAGATAATATTCCATGGCCAGTCTACATTGTCCAGTACATTTATATGTATGTATGTCCCATCCTTTACCAAGTATTATTGAATTGCAGTATGGGATGTCAGACATAAATTGGCATAACAATAAAAATATCATTATATTTGATGTTTTTGTGATTCCAGCTCTAGTAAATTTAGGACTCTACACAGTCATGAGATATCTTCTTCTTTAAAAAAAAATCCTACTTATCAGTAATAACAGTTGAGTTTTGAGTGCAAGAAATGCAGAGAGATTAGTAATGGAGGAGCAAGAAGGGATGTGGGAGATATTGAGGTTGATATGTTTTGTTTTCTTAGGGATACAATCAACAGAGGTGGTGGATGTGAGATTGCAGTGGCAAGAAGATGCAGACTGGGGTTTCATGAAGTTGAATGATTGGTCTCCATCCTAGCTGGTACGTTACCATGAGAATCAAAAGCAAGATCTATAAGACTTGTGTTAGAAAGTTGATGGTACATGATTCAGAAACTTGAAGTGTGATGACAGGAGAAGGAGGTACAATGTGTCTTGAGGAGAAAAGAAAGAGCCATGATACATACATGTATGGTGTGAAACTGTCTGACAGAGAACATATACAGGAAGAAAAAATTTCTGGCCATGATTTTGCATGTTGCGTTATAACAAATACATCGGTATATGGGTCAACAGTAAAGATATTCACTCAAATTGAATGCTTTTCAGTTTATAACACAATTTTAGTTGGATTCACATTTTTTTTTTAATGGGATTGCATTGTCCATGATAAAAATTCGGGACAGAAAAAAAGACTAAATAACATACTACATGTACGTTAGCAGTATGATGGCCAAGGAAAAACACAACTTATTGTTACAGCTTACAATATGGCTTTAAGAAAGTAGCTCTCACTTTTCTTAAATAGCCCCTTGGTTTTGGAAAAAATAGCCCTATAAAACAAATTCCTAGCCTGACCTGAGGCCATTCAGAGTAAGAAAGTAATCCAAAGAAATCTATGCAATCCTTCACAAATAATGATAATCCCTGCAATACTATCCTGCAGTAGCTTCATGTTACATAACAAAATCAGAGAGTTAAATAAACAATGAATTCCAGGAAATCACCAGAAAATGGGATTTAAACAACAAATGCCTACATGTACATGTAGGTCACTAAAGCCTTAGCACAGACATCACACCTCATGCACTTTAATAAAAGGAAATCTTTCAGCATTATTTTGAGTATTTTGAGAATCCAAGAATAAGATGCAATCCCAAAGAGAAATACATGTACTTTCACATGTACATGGGAGACTAGGGTTCTATGACTTGGTCAGTGTCTACATGTACTGTACATGCACATCATCATCAGTAAAGTCAGCATTTTCTCTCTAACAAGGGGTAAATGACTTTCGTGCAATGACACTTCCTCCCTCCAATTTTTCTTGTCGTGAGCATCTTCATCAATTAGACCATCCTAACTGCTTTCTTTCTTCACCACACCTTTCCATGTACACTGTACATGAAGATGGAGGTCATTCTTTCCATTGGTTTTGTCCAAAGTTTGAAACATTTTCAAATTTTGAATATATCGACCATCTACAAAATGTATTATCAGTTAGAGTGTTTATAGTGAACCATGATTTGTATATTTACATGTACATGTACTCCATTTGGAGCTCTATTCATAAAATGAAATAAAGATTAACACTGATTTTCTGCATGTAGACCAAAATTTCTGTCTCTTTTGTTTGTTAGCCTCTGATTTGGGTAGGGTCGGCTCCTCTCTTTAGAGACAGAAACCGACCATAGCGCTCTTGTGCGGGTTCGGTGGAGTGGATCTCACCACCAAACTTATGCCCAAATACTGTTAGGCCAAATTTTAAAAAAACATGTTTAGCGTCCTGTTTTTTTCGAAAAATAGGAAGGAGGAGGCCCTTTTTTTTTTTTTTCTTTCAAAATGGCCGCTCAAAATGGACGCTCGGTACATTTTCCCTGACAGTCGGGCTATTTTTCAAGATGGCCGCCGACATTTTTTTTGTTTGTTTTTTGTTAAATCAGAAATAGATCCATTTTAGCAGTGTTTTTCAAGTTTTTTTTCTGTAAAAAAAAAAAAATTAAAAAATTTCAACAAAAAAAAATTTAAAAATAGGAGGCGGCCCCCAAAAAGGAAGCGGGCGGGGACGCTAAACATGTATATCGTTTTAAATGGCCTTACCCGATGCATATTTGGTGCATCTCATTTTGAAATTTAGGCCTAGAATAGGCTATTATATTATCGGTTTCACTAAGCAACTTGACTGAAATAATCTGTTTACTGGTAATGGTCCCTTTTCAGGAAATTATGGGTCAAAATTGACATCCATGTTGAAAATCTTGAAGCCGTATTTTAGACTCTAGCTGCGCATGACGTCATCTAAATCTCTTCCCTTCTAGTCTACGGCTACGCGCAAGGCAAAATGATTATGAAGGAAAAACTGTAACAATAGTAACACTAAAATTCAATTGAAATGTCTCTGACTCTGCCAAAAAAGCCCAAATAAATTTGCTATTGACATTAGAAATTCAGACTTTAGTTTCAGTTTCATGCTCACATACATGTAGGGTCTAGGGTAGCGCGCCCGGTATTCGGTCAATTCCCAGTATTCGGTCAGACAGCTGTTTCAACAACTGTAACAATTAAAAAAATAATTTATGAGCCACGAAACCTGCACAAATCAGGCAGCTGAACAACTTTTCTTAACTCTCAAAATTAAACCAGGTATAGGCTATAGGGCCCCGGAAAGATCTCCAACTTAACCTTGAAATTGGTCAGTGTCGCACAACTGTCTGCACTTCCGGGTTCTGTTAGCACATTCACTTACAGGCATAGCCATATGTAGAAGTCAAAATATTTGTGATTTCCCCTTAAGTAACCGAATACCGGGCGTGCTACCCTACACAACACAGTTCGTATTGTCTTCTATTGGAGTATTGATATTAATAACATTTCATCGTTTAATGACTGAAAAGGGGGCATTAACAGTCAGACCGCAGCCGGTGCGAAAACCCTCTATTTTATTCAACACGTATGCAAGAATTTACGTGTCTTGCACACATAATGTATTGCAAGTAGTGCAAACGGTCTTTCCGATCGGCAGTTTTGCCTTTATAATTGTTCATTTCTCATGAAATTGGTCTTATTTTACAGATAAGACGTTGCACTTTCCGTATACTTATATAACAATCATGTTAAATATATTTTGGGAACAGGTATTTCGCCTAGAAAATAAAGAGTCTTATAAAGAATCTTAAGAGTAGGGCTGATTTTCACATAGAAATCATTCTTGCGTCACAAAGATGTTATAATCAGCATAAAGCATAGATATTTTTCTTTACAATGATATCAAAATTATTATATTTTACGTTGTACCAGAGTCAGGAACCAAGAAAAATCATGCGAAAGTTTATGAATAATTAATAGAAGTAGTCAATTTTGCTGATGTGATAATAGAGAGTTCTGATTGGTCAAATACGTCAACTACGTCACATATGTTTTGCTTTGGTTCATTAACATTCTGAATACCATAATTTAGTAAGTATGCCTTGTGGCATGCGCCGGTAATGCACGTTCGCGCAAGTGGTTATGACAACAATCTAAGGACCTTGGATCAAGTACTTCACATGCCTCCAGGTATTTCTTTTCTACAATATTTCTTTTTTAATAATTTTTCTTATTTTTTTCAGCCAGTCGGTGGCGCGGCGGAGCTCGCTGGAGTTTAATAATCAGTTATGCATTGCCATTGCTCAGACGGCGAGCGTGCACAAGTATGAAATCACACAATTTTGCGCCATCATAGAAAGAACAAATTGGTAATTTCCAGGTTTTTAGGGTCTTAAGTACTACAGTATGATTATAAAGAGAACATGATTTTGCGTCAACTAGGTTTTGACATTATTTTGATCAGTGACTTTTCATCTTTCCAACGAATCTCAAAGTAAACAAATTAATTACGTACCAGAGTCAGGAACCAAAAGCGAAATTCCGGGTACAAAATAGCTGTTGAAATGTTACAAAAATAACGACAATAAATTAAAAGTGGTGAAAAAGGATTGTTTCCAAATTGTGAAATATGGCAAGTTTCATATCAAACTGAAGCTGAAAATCTTGAGAGTAATTACCATTGCATTTTGCCATGTTGACTGAAGTTATCGACCACAAAATCAGCTGCATGTACAACCTTAAAAATCTCATGGAAAATCTCGTGAATTTCAGCACACGTGAATGCACGAGATTACCAAAGAGACAACTGAATAAAAATCTGCGTACAGCCTCATTATCACGCACGCTGCGGTCTGACTGTTAAAATGCGCGGCTTGTCACTTGTGAGTTTTTTTAATTTTATTTCCTTATTTTACATTGTATTCAAAGGCAATAATTAAAACATGACATCATAATCATTCATTAAAAAATAATGATAGACTCTAGACCTAATCGATTGATGGATGATGGATTGACAAATTGAGAAACAAATCTTACTCATGATAAGCCAAGCTCATGCATTCGAAAAGCTTAGCAAAAGAAGAATCTATTTCCAGCTGCCTGTCATCCCCCGAAAAAGAGTAGTTTATCGTTGTTTCCTTGGTCGCATCGTCAAAATTGTAGCCGCCGCTCTTTTTCACTTTGTGCGGGTTGCTGACCATAAAATGACCCGAATGTATGGTCTCACTCGACGGGCTCTTGGGCGAGGCATCGAGGCGAGACATGCCAGCTGTTCCAGCCTGGTTTCCATGAGTATCCCTCGAAGTAGCAGGATCCCTCCATCTTGTTCCATCAAACTGAGCCATTCCAAAAGTATTTTGAAGCATAGGGAAATCGTCTCTGGCCATTTCTAAGAAAAATCGACCTACTTTACTCCTTAAAAACTGCTTTACTTATGTATCCACAAAGGTAACGCAGAAATTGTAACGCCATGTTTTTCTGCATGAAGAAGCGCTATCAGTGACGTCAGAAGACAGCTGAAACCATCGACCAATACAAAACATACACGAAAAATGCATTTACTATGGTACTTGTGAGTAGGCAAACACACCGTTTGCATAAACGAGTAAACAGTAGTCTAGTACTCGACGAAGTTTTTTCTGGGCCAAGGGAATAGTGATGTTTTTCACCCTCTGTTGGACAATATCATATTCGAATACGATATTTTGATTTGCTTATCCCCTTAAAAGACAAACGTAAATCATTCGATTATTCCTCAAAAAAATATATAAATGCCTCATACTACATAACTTTTTCTATAATTTGAAATATGTAGTATGTCTGAAAGCCTGAGAAAGGCATCTTTTCCACAATATTTTATTTTGCAGCTTGCGATAGCTAAATCAAATTAAAGTTGATCCATTTTTGAGCCTCTTCAAAACATGTAGACAATAAAGAGATTCTAGACTGGGCGCTATAGCCCCCCCCCCCCTCCCCGAACAATTTTTTCCCCTTCAAACCCCCACCCTAAAAAGTCTTAATTGTTAAAGAATATAAGCGATAGGGTCGAGTCGTGGGGAGTGGTTGGTAATCCATTACTATCATGTTATATTTTTATGTTCCCTTTTTATTTGAAAAGAAAAGGGGGACAAAATGGTAAAAAGTATAACAATTAATATCAGTTGATTTTCATCTCTATATCATCCTGGTTATTGTCAACTTTATTCTTACACTCTGACAATTATCTATGTTACACTATAACGTTGGAATTTGTTATCTAATGTATACAAAAACAGAAATTGAGAACGATCCTACTTGTTTGGATTTAAATCTATAAAATTTGAATTGAATTGAATTGAATATGCGAAGTATATGTAGAAAAAAAATACAATAACCCAACGCGCTACCCCTCCCCCCAAAAATTGTATTAAGGAATCAAGCTTGCATGGTGTAGGCCAAAGCTACCAGATTTAAATTAATTCTTTCCTTTTTACATGACACCTTCACTGATTTTTTTTTCTTCATAAGCTTCATACGTAGGACTATATGTGTTAGCTTTATTACTTTGTAAGAAGCTTTGTAATCTAATATTCGAGGAATTGGTTTAATCTTAATCTGAGAAAATTCCTTTTAGCTGCCCATGATACCACAATACTCAGTCATGTATATAATGGGCGTTTGGATTGCTAGCATCAGCACTACTACACGTATGGGGCGTGGCAAGAAAGTTGCGATTGATTGCAAGTTGCAACATTTGCAACTGATATTTGCTGTCGATTGCAATTAAAATTTCTTGGAACGCCTCACTATATAGAGTCCTAAATTTTGTATTATAGGATTTTTTAAGGATTAAAGTTTGAAAAACTAAATTCAGTTAACTTCTCCCCACCCCCTCTCTCTCTCTCTCTCTCTCTCTCACTCTCTCTCTCTCTCTCTCTCTCTCTCTCTCTCTTTCTCTCGCTCTCTCTCTATAGGCGTTGCAAGAAAGTTGAGTTGCAAATTTGCAATTAATCGCAAAACTATTTGTCTACATTTTTAAGCCCAATACAGTATCAGTGGCGGATCCAGGAATTTCTTACCGGGGGGGGGGGGGGTACGAAATGGCATGGGATGAAATCAGTATATACGCAGGATTTTTTCAAGGGGGGGGGGGTTAACATTTTTAAATCGGGCCGAAAAGTTCAGCAACCTAGCTAGATGTAGTTAGGCCTACATTGTTAAGATGCAGTAGGGCAAGACTTCCAAGATCCCCCCTGGATCCGTCCCTGAGTATCATAAATTAATAACCTGTTCGCTAATTTGATGTATATGCTTCTTGAACAGAACTTTCTCTTGAGAACTCAGAAATTTGTCAGGTTATTGCCAGACATAGCAACAGCTAATGAATTCAAAGTAGATTACACCGATAGAGATGTCACTGTGCATATAACAATGGGTGTGAATTAGATACTTCGATAGTAAACTAAACTGTATGGGTTCAGGAGGGAAATAAGTACAATTACATCGAAATACATCAGCTATAGGCTTGTTCTCACCCCCCCCCCCCCCCCCCCCCCCATATCATCAGACGTCGATCTTTGGCAAATTGAGTAGGCCTACATTGTTAACATGCAGGAGGGCAAGGATTCCAAGAAATTAACTAAGGAGCGATTCAATAACCTGTATTAGGCGAATTCAAATTATGTAACATACCATTGTTCCCCTGGATGCTGGATGCTCGGCTGACTGTAGAGTTATATACCTAAGACCTCTGAGCTTCCGGGGGCACTGCCTCTGCCAATTAGTGACCTGCCAGTGTCACAAAATAAGGTATCTAAATATGCTTATCTGATCGTAATTTAATGTCTAATAACCCTGAGGTCGGGGGCTCAGACCCTGGACCCCACGCCAATTTACGCTCCACCTGATCGTTATTACTCCACTTTGAAAAACGCTCCGCATCTCAAAAGGTGACGGACGAGACTATTGAAATTTCCTTAAGCCCCAGTCCCATATAAAGCCGGACGAGCACGGACGAGCACGGACCACTCCGGACCATCCCGGACCATGGTCTGGGGTGATCCGGGATGGTCCGGGATGTTTTGTTAAAAAAAGTGTGATGCTTTTAAAGCTACAGTCCCATATACGTCCCGGACCGTCCCGGACCATCCCGGACCCCATCCGGGGTGATCCGGGATTCGGTCCGTGTTGACACCGTGTTGGCACCGGGGTGGTCCTGGATGGTCCTGGATGGTCCTGGATGGTCCTGGATGGTCCTGGGCGGTCCGGGAGTCGACCCCGGATGTTTTTGACGGTCAAAAACTGCCGGGGTGGTCCGGGACGGTCCGGGACAATAGTTTGATCCGGGGTGATCCGTGTAGCCACCGTGCTGGGTCCGGGGTCATCCGTAGTGGCGCCGGGGCGGTCCGTGTTGATCCGTGGCAGTCCGGGAGTGAGTTATTGACCGCCCAGGACCATCCAGGACCATCCAGGACCATCCAGGACCATCCAGGACCATCCAGGACCACCCCGGTGCCAACACGGTGTCAACACGGACCGAATCCCGGATCACCCCGGATGGGGTCCGGGATGGTCCGGGAAGGTCCGGGACATATATGGGACTGTAGCTTAAAAGCATCACACTTTTTTTGAACAAAACATCCCGGACCATCCCGGATCACCCCAGACCATGGTCCGGGATGGTCCGGAGTGGTCCGTGCTCGTCCGTGCTCGTCCGGCTTTATATGGGACTGGGGCTTTAGCTACAGTCCCATATACGTCCCGGACCGTCCCGGACCATCCCGGACCCCATCCGGGGTGATCCGGGATTCGGTCCGTGTTGACACCGTGTTGGCACCGGGGTGGTCCTGGATGGTCCTGGATGGTCCTGGATGGTCCTGGATGGTCCTGGGCGGTCAATAACTCACTCCCGGACTGCCACGGATCAACACGGACCGCCCCGGCGCCACTACGGATGACCCCGGACCCAGCACGGTAGCTACACGGATCACCCCGGATCAAACTATTGTCCCGGACCGTCCCGGACCACCCCGGCAGTTTTTGACCGTCAAAAACTTCCGGGGTCGACTCCCGGACCGCCCAGGACCATCCAGGACCATCCAGGACCATCCAGGACCACCCCGGTGCCAACACGGTGTCAACACGGACCGAATCCCGGATCACCCCGGATGGGGTCCGGGATGGTCCGGGACGGTCCGGGACGTATATGGGACTGTAGCTTTAGGTTGGTTTTATGAGAATCTTTGCTTAGTTATGGTCACAGAAGAACGAAGAATATCAGTAGGCTTCTATGCTCTCTTTCCATGCACGGATTACCCTTTTCGAAATTAATGCTGAAATATGTTTATTTACATAGGCGCCGGCAGGGGGAGGGCACTCGCCTCCCCCCTCCCCCCGAACCAAAAAATGTGGATGGGGGGAGGGGCAAAACGCATTCCCCCCCCAAAAAAAAAAATAAATAAAATAAAATAAATAAATAAATAAATAAAAATAAATAAATAAAATAAAATAAAATAAAATAAATAAAGAAATAAATAAATAAAAAAAACGCCCCCCTTCCAATCATAAAAAGCAGTAAAGGAGTAAAGATGGTTTGTAATTTTAACCTGAATTATATCACATATAAAATTCCATTCAAATAAAGGGAAGTAAACAGGAATTAAATTTCCTAAACATTGCGCATGCCACCTATATCAATGGTTTTTTTTATAATAGCGATACGCGCATGTCGTGGATACCGCCTATTGTGAGAGAATGGGAAAGCGTGTCTGTTTTTGTTATATGGGTGAGAAGAAATGAGCCCCTAAACGCTGGCGCACTGATGGGGGGGGGGGGGGGGGGTTATTTCTTATTCGATACCAGTGATTTACAAATGTTGCTGGAATAATATGATTTTCCGGTATTTTTTCTCAATTTTGTGTGTAAGTCATACCTTTTTATGCGTTTGCTGAAAAATTAGAATTTCCCAAATTTACAGTCGGGCGAAAAATATGCTTATTTAGAAGCCTTCATGTAAGGGCCTGCAGAACGGCTGGGCTCGGGGGCTCGAGCCCCCTCACTTTTTGAACAATTATGTTACAGAGAAAAAGAAAGAAAGACAAGAGAGAAGAAATAAGTGACCTGCCAATGTCACAAATGAGGTATAAAAATATGCTCATCTGATCGTAATTAAATACCTAAAACCCCCGAGCTTCCGGGGGCTCTGCCCCCTGGACCCCATGAATGGCCTTAAAGAGGACCACTGTCTGTTCAGCTGCATGACTGTAGAGTTAAATACATAAAACCTCTGAGCTTCCGGGGGCTCTGCCCCGTGGAATCCCCGCCAATTAGTGACCTGCCAGTATCACAATTAAGGTATCTAAATATGCTTATATATCTGTTATCTATTAGATATATATATAAAACTAATTTGAAATGCTAGAGCACCGTAATGGCAGCTATAAAGCCAGGGTATACTAATCTCCCTCTGCGCCTCAGAATAGTTTACTAGATCGATGGCGCATTATGCTGGAGTATTATTATTAGTTGGGGAATTTCTTGTTTGGCTGTTAGCCCCCCCCCCCCCCCACCCCCGCCACCACCACCACAAAACTCTCTCTCTCTCTCTATCTCTCTCTCTCTCTCTCTCTCTCCTTATCTCTCCCTCTCTCTCTCCTTCTCTCCATATCTCTCTTTATATTTATGTATCATCGCTATTGTGCGTTTTAAGTACTTTAACAATAATGATGTTCATAACTCTATAATGCAGTGTGTACCTCTCTCTCTCTCTCTCTCTCTCTCTCTCTCCCTCTCACTCTCTGTCTCTCTGTCTCTCTCTCTCTCTCTCTCTCTCTCTCTCCTTTTCTCTCCCTCTCTCTCTCTCCTTCTCTCCATATCTCTCTTTATATTTATGTATCATCGCTATTGTTCGTTTTAAGTACTTTAACAATAATGATGTTCATAACTCTATAATGCAGTGTGTACCTGTGTAACGCGGGACGATCCGTGCGGTTCTGGGTTTGCTATCCGCACAGTCTGTCCTCATTTTGTTTTACGTGTATATTTGATAAAAGGAAGCAACTCGGTAAATCATGTGGTAGACATTTTTTCTAGAAATTACATAATAATAACTCTCTACAATTTTTTTAAAGCAAATAGGCCAGTCCTTTTGAAAGTAGAAGTGAATATTTTATTTAAAACCTTTATTCTATGAATATCGGCCCCACAACTGTTGTAATCTATTATGCTTTTGTACGTGGCTTCGTTCTTTAACCAACTCACTACTAGTATATACTCGTGATCCAGGCCCCGCCCCAAGTATTTGGGGGCGTTTCGAGGTTTAATGAAGGCGTTAAATGGGAAATAAAAGTGATTATCTTGATTAAAAAAATTGTGGTTGAAAGTGAGTGGGGGAGGCTAGAGTATTTAAGATAAGGTAGAGCGTAGCACAAATTGGCGGATGCTCAGGGGGTAGGGGCATTTAATTACGATCAGGTGAACATATTTTAATACCTTATTCATGACACTAGCAGGTCACTAATTGGCGTATGTTCCAAGGGGCGGAGCCCCCGGAAGCGCAGGGGTTTTAGGCATTAAAATAACGGTCAGATGAGCATCCAGGGGCCAGCCTTAGGGCACAAGGTGGGGTCCAGGGGGATTTTAATATACTTTTTCAAAAGTGTGGGGGGGGGGGAGGGGGCTTGAGCCCCCAAGCCCGCCGTTCCACATGACCTGACAAGTATTGTTTCCCTGATCCGTATATAGGACAAGGCCCTGGGGCAGCTAGCCATAATCCGATATTTGGGTCGTTTTCCGGTCAGAACTAGCCCTAACTATCATTCCAGGATTTTGTTTGAGAACCTGAGACAAAGTTACCCAATCCCTTTAAGTTTCAAAAAGTAGACTTCATTGACCTGTACAAAGGCTTAGGAACCGGGGGGGGGGGGGGGGGGGGGCTTGGGGGCTCAGATATCATTGAGCCCCCCAATATTTTTTGCGGGGCTTATAGATATCATTAAGCCCCCCAATCTGTTGGTGGGGCTTAGATATCATTGAGTCCTTAGGGGCTAAGATACCATTGAGCCCCCAATATTTAAGTGGTGCTCAGATATCATTGAGCCGCCCCCGATACTTATTGCGGGGCTTGGATATCATTAACCCCCCCCCTCCTCCCCAATCATTATATTCTAGGCATGAAACTCATGTATACCTATAATCTACAGGCTTACCATTCAAATATAAACATGTTATAAATATTTATTTGGGGAGGAGGGGGGGGGGGGGGGGGGAGGGGGGCTCAGACATCGGATCTCGCATATCATTGACCCCCAAAAATATATTTGGTGGATCTCGGGGGTTAAGAGGTAAGAGCACATTTTTTTCTTTTTTTTTTTGGTCTCGAAATTTGAACATTTGACATTTTGTTCCGTTGGGGGTGGGGTAAGGTCACCTTTTTTAGGTCAGCCATTGGCATAATTTTTTTTTCTTTTTTCTTTTTCTTTTTTCTTTTTATAAAAAAAAAAAATCAAAGGGGGGGGGGGGGGTTCACAAAAAACATACACAAAACATACACATAAAAAACACAAGGGGGGTTTAACCCACCCCCCCCCCCCCCCCTGCGTACGCGCCTGTATACAACAGTGCTTGGGGAGTCACTTTTACAAGGTCTCCTCGTCTTTCTATTGCACTAAAATGCATTTTATGAACTTGTTCCTAATAGTTGTTCCTTTTATGTACTCTGTCACATGTTATGAATTTGTTCAATGGTATTACATTCATTTTGGAAGAAAGACAAATAAACTTGAACTTGAACTCTGTATTGATAGAGTAGTATTTAGTAGTACTAAGACTGCGCAAGTCTTTGAAAATAAAATGAATCCTCTTCAATACAGTCTCTACATTTTCTACCGTCTAAATCAGCTGTGCTAAGAGTAAGTAGTAGCTTTTGATATACAATCATCATTTGAAAGAAATATTGTGAAAAATATTTTAGATACGGACTCAAGTGCGAGTTTCATGGTAAATATCTGTTTGATAAAATTTCAAATTACAATCTGGGTTTCGGCATGTGATCTATATGAGAGTAAAGAGTAAGATCACAGCTTTACATATGTGTAGGTCATCATTTAGTTAAATGTTATATTATAAGATTTTTAATATTTTTAAACATCCAAATCTATATTCTCTTTCTCTTGGGGCCGTTACCGGTAGCCCGGCACGAGCAAATTCCTTTTTTCCTTTTCGATTGTACGATTCGGAGACACTTTAGCTATCATTATTGGTGGCTAGCCTCCTCCTTATTGGTCGCCAGTTTCAAGGAGCGGCTTGTAATACATGATTCAATATATTGGGCTACTTTTGGCGACCAATAACTTAACTCACACTAGCAGACTAGAGAAGCATGGCGTCGCGAAATCACGATGAAGACGATGGAGGCGTACGAAAGAAGCAGAAAATCATTAAAACCATTCATGACAAGAAACAGAAGAAGCGACTTATTGTAGTCCTTGAAAAGGCCTCCCTAGAAACTATCAAGGTATGGAATATCTGGTTTTATTTGTCATGAAACTAAGCAGTGCAAGTCCTTACTTTCTTAGTTTCTTATATTAATACTATGCCCACCTATTCATAACGATGTGGGTAAATACAATCGACAGCGGCGAGTAGACGTAGACAGCCAGACGTAGTCGTCCATGCCATGGCCCATGCGCATGTTGTTGTTGTTTGTTGTTGTTTTAATTTATAGGCGTTTTTCATTCAGAAGTGAATATTTACGCCTCTTCTCTCAGGATTTTTATTCCTTTAAAATTAGATTTACTTTTTTTGATATATAGATTTGGATAAATTGGATTTTTAAAAGCTAAACATTTATTTAATGATGAAGAATTCAGTGGCTGGCGAGCAAAAGGCTTATCGGCTAAATAGGACGCCCAAGGATCAACTCGGACACGGTACGTAGTGACAAGCTTCTCAACTCAGCCTAATGCTGAGCCTAGGCCCTCCGACGTCCACCAATATGTCTAGTCGTCTCCATCGTGTTTCTTCAAAATTTTGACCGAAAACCAAAAAATAAAAAAAACAGATCATGATACATGAAGATTTTAAACGTTAATATAGACTCTAGACAGTTCTCTCTTCTAATTTATTTATTTATTTATTTTTTTTTTTTCCTCTTTCTCACTCTTCTTCTTCATGTACATGTATACTCACTATAACAAGCGAAACATATTGGGCTCAAATAATTATGTGCGGTGCAAGGTGGTTAGTAGGGGTACAGGTGTACCCCTTTAGATCTAACTACGAAGTTAACCAGAGCCTGTTGGTGATTAATATCTGTTGATTTCAGGAGTATTGGGATTAATTCTTCGTTTTCTATTCCAGATTCTGTTATAAGCATGGCTCTCTCTATAAGAAAGAGTGGGCACTTACATAAAAAATGTTTAACTGTTTCTTTTTGGTGCTCACAGTTTGGACAATGACCTGTCTCATGTTGATTCAACTCAAAAAGATTATTATTTAAACCTAAGTTTCCCATTCTTAGGCGATGAAGAATAGTTTCATGATATCTGTTGTTCAGGTAACACACAAATGTTTTTGATACTAGAGTTTGCGTTTCCCGTAGGGGGGATGATGTTTCATTCCATCTTTTTATGCCTCCGTTACGAAGTAGCCGGAGGCATTATGTTTTCGGGTTGTCCGTCCGTCCGTACGTCCGTACGTCCGTCCGTCCGTACGTCCCGTTCTCGTGATCGCGTTATCTGAAGAACCGATTGATGGATTCCTGCCAAACTTTAGTCATGTATGTATCTTGCAGAGCCGATGAACTGATTAGATTTTGGGGTCACAGGTCAAAGGTCAAAGGTCACAGGGCTCATTATGTATGCAAAAACAGCTTGTGATCGCGTTATCTAAAGAACCGATAGATGGATTCCTGCCAAACTTTAGTCATGTATGTATCTTGCAGAGCCAATAAACTGATTAGATTTTGGGGTCACGAGGTCAAAGGTCAAAGGTCACAGGGCTCATTATGTATGCAAAAACAGCTCGTGATCGCGTTATCTCAAGAACCGATTGATGGATTCCTGCCAAACTTTGGTCATGTATGTATCTTGCAGAGCGGATGAACTGATTAGATCTTGGGGTCACGAGATGAAAGGTCAAAGGTCACAGGGCTCATTATGTATGCAAAAACAGCTTGTGATCGCGTTATCTCAAGAACCGATTGATGGATTCCTGCCAAACTTAGGTCATGTATGTTACTTGCAGAGCCGATGAACTGATTAGATTTTGGGGTCATGAGGTCAAGGTCAAAGGTCATGCGGCTCATTATGTATGCAAAAATAGCTTGCGATCGCATTATCATTAGAACAGATTGATGGACTCCTGCCAAACTTAGATCATGTATGTATCTTGCAGAGCCAATGAACTGAGTAGATTCTTGGGTCATGAGGTCAAAGGTCAAAGGTCATGGGCTCATTATGTATGCAAAAATAGCTTGTGAACGCATTCTCACTAGAACTGACAGATGGATTACTATTTAACTCAGGACATCTTGCAGAGCCAATGAACTGAGTAGATTTTAGGGTCATGAGGTCAAAGATCAAAGGGTCATATATGTATATAATGGATTACAATTGAAATTGATTTGAAAAATTTCTTCTGTTTTGGTTTGTAAAATTGCTCCATGACGGAGGCATCATTTTCGACTGCGCGCAGTCGAAGTTCCATCTAGTTTGCCATATCTCTATGTAGTATTTCTTTATAACATAATTTGATTCTGCTCTGGTAAGAGCGTTGTTGATTTCTATATTTTTATTTAGTCCTGCTTTAGCAAACTTATCTGTTATCTCATTGTGTTGTAGACCACAATGACTGGGAATCCATTCGAAATAGACCTGGGTGCCCTTGTATTTTAGTTGACTACACAGGGTTAAAATTTCAAGAATGAAAGATTCGTCTTTACGAGATTCTATGGCCTGGAGTGAACTCAAAGAATCAGAAAAGATGACTGCCCCGGTGTAGAGTCCTGGGAGTTGTAATAGCCATGTCAGGGCAAGTACAATTGCGGCCATCTCTGCTGTATAAGACGATGTGTAATTAGCCAGTCTCTTAGATTGAGAAACATCATAATAAGGTACATGAAATGCAGCAGCAACAGAGTCTTTATCTGGCGATCTTGATCCATCTGTATATATGTGTAAATAATTTGTCCATTTCGAATTTATCAATTCTAGGGCTGCTTGTTTTTGGGCAAAACAGATATCTGTTTTCGTTATTACCTCTTTTAGCTCTGATAACACATGGGGAGGGAGTATTTTCCAAAAGGGTGTGTTGAAAAAATACTTCATTGGATCTTCTAGTATGTAACTGAATTTTAATGTACAATCCTTGGTTCTACGTCCAAAAGCTAATCTAGAGTTAGTACCTCCAAGAATATTAAATTGCCAACAATCTTTCACATCTTCGTTCAGAGGGTGTTTGCGCATACTCTCGATTCGTTTTCTTAGTTTAATTGATAACATTTCTCGCCTTAAATCAAAAGGCATTTCGCCTAGTTAGACTTGCAGCGTTTTAAGGGATGTACCTTTCCGAGCGCCTGCACAAACAAATAACGATTGGTACTGAACTGAGTTCAACATATTTTTTGCGCTTGTCGTAGCCGAGTTGTATGCTTCGCAACCATAGTCGATAATTGATAGTATTAATGCTTTATATATCATCACTAGTTCTTTAGCATCTCCAGACCACTTGGCGTATGCTAGACTTTTGATAACATTAATCCTTCCTTTACATCTTTTACTAATATCTAATAAATGAGGTCTCCAAGTCATCCGTTTGTCAAATGTGACGCCGAGATACTTGTGCTCTTTATGTGGTGTCAACTTTTGACCTCTTATATATAACTCGTAATTATCATCATTTGTATTGTTCGAAAATAAGATAGGAGTCGTTTTCTCTACCGACATAATAAGTCCAAATGGATTGAGCCATGAGTTCAAGGAGTTTAGATATTGTTGTATGTTCTGGATATTTTGTTTTACATCATGGCCTGATTCCCAAATTACGATGTCGTCTGCATAAATCAAGCTATGTATATCTGGTCTCAAAGGTATGTCACTTATCATTATATTAAAAAGGAGGGAGCTCAAAATGCTACCCTGGGGTAAACCGTTTTCAGGATGCGTAATTGCCGATTTGGCATTACCTATTTGCACTTGAAAGGTACGGTTCAACAAGTAGTTTCTCAAAAAAATCAATATGTTTCCTTGGAGACCAATTCTACGTAACTTGACGATTAATCCTTTCGTCCAGAGAGTATCATAGGCTTTGGCTAGATCAATAAATACGACTATGGTTTTCATACCCACAAATAGATATTTCTGAATTTCATTTTCTAAATGTACTAAGTTATCTATTGAGCTTCTCTTTTTTCTAAAACCATGTTGTATACTACTCAAAATTTCGTTTTTCTCTATGAACCATTCTAATCTCTCCTTTACCATACTTTCTAATATCTTGATAAAGCAAGGTAATAATGAGATAGGTCGGTAGGATGTTAGTTGGGAGGAGTCTTTATTTGGTTTTAATATTGGTATCAACATTGCGTGTTTGCATTGTTCCGGAATCGTCCCAGAAGACCATATTCTGTTATAAAGACAGAGTAATGTTTTCCTAGCCCTGGTTGGAAGGTTTTGAAACACAGTATATATCAAGCCATCTTCACCAGGGGCTGATGTCTTTTTTATATTAAGTACTTTTTCGAGTTCCATCATAGTAAAAGGTTCATTGATAACTGAATCATGTTCTCCTTTATAATCAATAGATTTATATTCATCTAGCAGTTCTTTATTTCCCTTTTTTGTTTTACTACTGATCTTCAGAAAATGCTTTCCAAATTCGTTAGCTTTTTCTTGATCATCTATAATTACTTTAGATTCTACTTTTAGTGCTGATATCTTAGAATGAGTTTTATTTGGATTACCCTTCAGACAACGAATCAAATTCCATAGTTCTGAGATTGAAGTGAACCTGTTTTAGTTTTGAAGTGTAATCCAGCCAAAACATTCGTTTTGTCTGTCTAATAATCCTTTGGGCTTCGGCCTTCTTTTGTTTGTATAATTTTAGATTTTCATCATTCCATACTCTCAATAACCTATTTTTATATTCGTTCCGTTCCTTAATCTTTATTTTGCATTTTTCTGTCCACCATGGGACGGGGTTGAATCTCGCATTCTTGTTTTTATTTCTTTTGGGTACAGTGTGTAATTCATTTAAGATATTATTTAGAGATTCCATGAAGTTTCCGTAAAAAGTTTTGACATCTGCGTCTAGCAGCGAGTCAGTGTCCATTCGTTGATCGCACAGTTTATTGAATTCGTGCCAATCTATCTTCTTGAATGACCGTTTTAGAGTTAGGTCATCTTTCGTACAATCTGATTTAGGAGTTTTTTTGTCGATTTCAATATATATTGGAAAATGGTCACTTCCGAATTTGTTTGATAGCACTTTCCAGCTAGTGGAACTGGCTAGAGCGGGAGTTGCTAATGATAAATCTAAACATGAGGTTTCGCCAGTAGTTGGGTTTAGGCGAGTACCCGAGCCATCATTTAGGAAGACTAAATTGTGTTTCAGTAAATATTCCTCAATCACTTTTCCATTTTTATCTGTATTTTTACTGCCCCATTGAACATTATGAGAGTTAAAGTCTCCCAATATTAACATTCTACGTTTATTCTTTATTTCCTTTATCAAGAAATCTAGTTTATTCATAATTATGTCTTCACATGGATTATAGTAATTTATCACGGTTATGGATGTGTTGTCAAAATACAAATTAATCTGTTGCATTTCGATGTCAGTTTCTATGATTGGGTAATCATAATTTAAACTGTTGTGTACATATATGGCACATCCTCCACCGCGCCTTGTTTTCCTGCTTTTAGCAAAACATTTGTAATTAGCGATTTGTATTTTGTCGTGATCCCGGAACCATGTTTCCTGAATACATAGTAAATGAATGGTTTCACTTTTTATAGAGTTTAAGTAGAGCAATAACTCATCCCCGTGTCCCTTTAATCCCTGTGCATTCCACTGTAGGATGCGGAATGCCATCTTAGTTCCTTTAATTAACTCGCTTGCATTAATAGCTGACCAGCAGCTATCTTAATTAAAGACAACACCTCTCCTTCTGACTTATCTTTCATAATTTGGATCATTAGGTGAAGAAAGAAGGTTATCAATTCCTCATTTGTTGCTTTAGTTATAAAATTTTCCTTGATTTGTGAAGACGGTCGCACTGTTTTTTCGCTAGTTTGCCTATCTTGGCGTTGTGGCAAGGGAGGATCTGCCTTTGGGGTGTGATCCGGAAACACATGAGAGTTATCGACTTGGGGGTTGGGGTGGTTTTGCTTTACTGTATTTAAATCAAGATCAACAGATGGTTGGGGATTATTTGCGGTGTTTAGATGTTGTTGGTGACGAGCTAGTTTACGCTCCAATGGTATTGGAGCTTGCGCTTGCATATTATCTTTTTCTTCTTTCAATTGGCGAGCGGCTTGAGCATAGCTGAGATTATTCAGCACTTTTATCTTTTGTACTTCTTGCGCTTTTTGTGCTTGTTCGCATCCATTATATGCAGCGGAATGTTCACCTCCACAATTTACACATTTGGGAGTGTTCTTTTTTATGCAATCGTCGAAACTATGCTCCTCTCCACATCTGACACATCTCTGTTTCTGTTTGCAAACAGCTATGGTGTGGCCAGATCTTTGGCATTTAAAACACCTGGGGCTTGAAGGTATATAGGGTTTGACCTTTATTCTTTGGAAACAAAGAATGATGTCTTGGGGAAGTACTGTAGCTTCAAATGAAACAATTACACTCCGAGTTGGAACTAAATCTACATGTACATTCCCATCTTGAGGTTCTTCCCTCTTTCGATTTTTCCTTACTATTCTTTTCACGTTAACTACCTTTTGACTCATTAGTTCTGTTTCTATTTCTTTTTCTGACATCTCAGTCGGTATATCTGATATGACACCTTTCTTCAAATCAAGTTTCAAATTGACCTTCACTGGTACGTTATCAATGATTTGTATATCAGACAATTTCTTATGTTGTTTCGTATCCTTGCATTTAACGAGAATTCCGTTCCGGGTAGACTTTATAAATTCTGGCGATGAGCCGATACAGTTTTGGATAGATTTTGCGATCTTTAACATGTTAACGTTTCTTAATGATTTTTCCCTGTCAATAGGTGTAATGAAAAGCTTTAGATCTTGGTCAGTTGCTATTAGAATTACTGGATTTTGGTTACGAAATACTGAGTTTTGTGGTTCCATATTATCTGATGACGAATCCTCTTTTAGTGATAGGTTCTCAACATTGATACTTCCTTCACGTATCTTTCTTTTTTTTCTTTGAACACTTGCAGACGTGACTGTCTGGAATCCGTCCTTTAGCTCTATTCCTAAATCTTTGGCTTGGTTGCCTGAATCAATATCTGCCATAGCGTTAAGTGAGGAGTCGTCGGGGTTCATGGTCCGCGCCGCGTGCGGCGGGAGATTTAAATCTACTTTGATTTGTTAACTTATTTATGGTGCAGAATTATGTATAAAATGAGCCCAAAATGTTCGCTTACCTTTAGCAAGTCATTTCCTATATGAAACTAGAGTCGAAAGTATGGAAAGTCCCGTGAAAATCCGATAAATATCCAAAAAAATTGCAACAAGCAACAGACAGACAGCCACGTGCACCGACCTAGCATCCCAATGTGCTGCGGACATTGGGATGTCTTACTCTTTCTTAGACTCGTGTTGAGCATGTTGAGACATAACGTATGAGGACTTCTTTACTAAAACTGATGTCGCTAATCAGTAGGGGCACTGGTTCGAGAAGAAGGATCGTCCGCGTAAACGAGGATCGTCTTCGTAAACTTGTAAAGGCGGACGGACGTGTCCACAAAAATAAGGATCCGCATTTTTGCAGATGTTTCATATTTCCAATCTGTGTATTGGCGATGCGGAAAATGGATTCCGCATTGATATTCTTGATGCATTTTAGAAGTCTACATTAACTTTGTACAGAGACTTTCACGTTCTTTTTCCTTTTGAGTAGATCTACAGACCTCTTTACAGAGTATTATCGTACTATACCGGGGGTGTGTGCAGGTGGACCACTACACCGGGGTTACTCTTATACGAATAGTGCAGTGGGTTCTTAACGTGCAAAGGTAGTGACTCTTCTCTACACGGGGCCTCCATTTAACGTCCTATCCGAGGGACGGAGTGTTTTCCACTTGACATAGCCTGCGTCTATGAACAAGGGAAGGGGCACGTTAACACACAACGCAGGCTTCAGTCATCCGCCTGGGTGGGAGTCGAACTTGGGATCTTTGGTTCGACAGACGGACGCTTTACTGACTGAGCCAACTCGCCTCCCCTTATGATATGAGCGATAAATCCTCGGGAAGATGGACAACCCTTAAGAGTAGATGGTGAACTGGGGTTATTTTCTTACGCGGAATCCGTTTTTTGCATCGCCAGCGCGCGGTTCAGGAACCCAAAACCCGCAGAGTGCCGGTGAAAAGAAACGTCAGAGAAAATGGGGATGATCCTTATTTATACAGGATGCAAGTTGTCTGCGTTTATGACGATTATCCTCGTTTATTCAGGCGATCCTCATTCTCGGACCAGCGCCCCTACTGCCAATTCAGAATCATATCCATAAACATACAGATTAATTTAATGAGGATCTGAGATTCTGCGTTCTTGGAAATTGGGTGGACAGTAACTGAGGACAACTAAATAGTTCAAATCATTTATAAAAACTCAAAAGCAATGGTATCTCTCACTTTATTTTAGAAAAGTGGGTAGACAAAATTGAAAGAGTACACAATTTGCTGCACTTGGTCCTTTCTGTCCATTTAAAAGTTACACTTTCTATTTTCTGGACAACATTTTGATGGATAAACCACAAAATGGGTTAAAATCGGTTTACAAATACATATGGATTCAGTCATGCTTGTTATAATTTAAATCTGTTTATTAATTTTTGTCTTATTCTCTAGTCACCAAAGGGGTATGAGTTGATGAACTGTGATCATCACAAGCATCTGATGAAGAAGCATAAAAGGGAGCCATCCGACTGCAGACCGGACATTGTTCATCAGGTAAATATCTCCCTGGTCCCCCCCCCCCCCCCCTCTCTCTTTAATTCCTCTTTCTCTCCCTATCACTCTATCAGCCTGCTTTGCCAATCTCTCTTATATTTTCTCCCCCCTCTCTCTCTCTATCTGAGGAGGCGCGATAGCTCAGTGGTCTCGTAATCCGGTGACCCGGACTCGAAACCAAGGCGATGCGCTAGTACCCCTTGGTAAGGCATTAATCCTCATTACCAGATCCTTCGGAGATGACCTACATGTAAAGCCGTCGGCCGTCTGGTTGCTTACTTACAAGCATTTATGCTTACCGTAAATCTCTGTGTATAAGGCGCACTTTTTTGCCGCCGAAAAAAATTGAATGTCAGGGGGTGCGCTGCGCCTTATGCACAGGTACAGAATTTTTTTTTTTTTTTTTTTTTTTTTTTTTTTTTTAGTTTTGATTTATGGCCCTATGCCTGGCAATGTCTCCCAGCTCAGTAATCAATGTGTTGACTCACCACTCGGAAACTACAACAACACTAAAATTTGTTTGTCATCTTGGTTTGAAAGTAATCTTTCTAATAGATCTCAATATGTAGTTTATAATAATAATTCCTCAATTTTTTTTATATAACAAATGGTGTACCACAAGGTTCTATCCTAGGACCTAGATACTCTATTGTTTTTAATTTACATTAATGATCTTACACATTCTTCTAAAAACGACATTGTTACTATTATTTGTGACAAGTTTACAAGCACAAATCAGCGCCTTTAAGTGTACCTCGATGTTAAATGAAGGTCCTTCCCCGCGTGGGTTTTCGGCAACAAAACAACAACAACAACAAAACAATTTTTTTTTTTTTTTTTTTTTTTTTCCCCTCCCCAAAATAGGGGTGTGCCTTATACACAGGTGTGCCTTATACACAGAGATTTACGGTACTTACAAACATTTATGCTTTCTTAGTAGTCAGGTAAAATAACCACCATCATTCAATCTCTCTCTCTCTCTCTCTCTCTCTCTCTCTCTCTCCGTCTCTGTCTCTCTTTCTTCTCCCTCCCCTGTATCAGTCTGTCTTGCTGTCACTTTCTCTATGAATTAGTCTCCTATTGTTTTCCTGATGCTGTTTGACAGTCCTCTCAGTTGAGCTGGTCTCCTCTCTCTCTCTCGGCCCTCTCTGTATTAGTCTGTCTTTCTCTGCCCCTCCAAAACTTTCTTTGTCTTCATTTTGTCTCCTCATCTCTCTTCCAGTGTTGATGCTGCTTGGCAGTATTTTTAATTGAACTAGGAGTAGTTTCACAAAGACTAAGATCGACTTTAAGTTGGACTTAACTAGACCTAGACTTAACTACGGCAGGCCATTCATGCCACTGGTTGCTCTCACCATTGGTCTTTCAATTATGATCTTTAGATAATTTTTTTTCTTCAATAATGAACTATCCAAAAATGTAAATTCTGTAGACATGTGACCATGATTTGTACGTCCCTTGAGAGACCAATGCCAGTAAATGTTGATAGAAAACAATGGCATGAACGGCCTGCCATAGTCCAACCTAAAGTCAGTCTTAGTCTTTGTGAAACATTCCCCTGGTCTCATTTCTCATCTCAAAACATTCCTTTTCAAGTCTTGATCGTTTTTCCTGTTTACACGCGCCTTGAGCACTCCACAGAGTGGATTTGGCGCGATATAAGTTACATTATTATTATTATTATTATCACCTCTCTCTCTATCGGTCTCTCTTTGCCCCTTCCACGCTCTAATAAATACTCCCTCATCTCTCCCCCAGTGTTTGCTGATGCTGTTTGACAGTCCTCTCAATCGAGCCGGTCTCCTTCAAGTCTTCGTCCACACACAGCGCAACGTTCTGATTCAGATCAGTCCTCAGACCAGGATCCCAAGAACGTTTGACAGATTCTGCGGTTTGATGGGTAAGACTAGAGAACATTTTTATAAACATAAGTCATATTTTCCAAAGACATACTTTTAGTCACCAAGAATGTTCTACGGAGTCTGCTGTTTGATGGTTAATACAAAAGGACAATATCAAATGGAAGTCTATAGTTTGAAAAATGTTTTGTGTCAACAGTTTTGTGTCACCAGAAACTTGATATATCCTGCATTATGTGTACTGGTAGTACAAAAGAAAAATATAAAAAATGTAAGCCAAAATTGAAAAAGAAAATCAGTTTGTGCCAGGTATGAACTCTGATAGATTCTACAGTTTTTGCTGGGTTAATTAAACCACAAATTAATTTACAAGCGGACCCCCCCCCCTCCCCTCTACCATGATTAGTTCCATGTCACCAGCATAGGCTTCCAGATTATGCAGTTTGATTGGTGTGACAAGAAAATACTGTAAAACATAAGCCCCACCCTCCAAAAGTGCTAGTTTCTTGTCCCTGCATACATCCTTTCTTTCATCAAAATTATTTGATAAAGGAAAGTCTAGCAAAAAGGTTAGCCATTTTGGGGGCAAGTCTAATATAAGGTATTTGGTCATTTGGTGGCCCACATGTCACTATAAAGTACATGTATACAGTCAAACCTGTCTACAGCGACCGCCCAAGGGAAACATAAAAGTGGCCTTTGTAGACAGGTTCCTTGTACATGTTTCAATGAGAAACCATTTACAAGGAAAACAAAAAATGTGGTCTTTGTAGACAGGTGGTCACTAAAGCAGGTTTGACTGTATTATGATATCAAGAATTTGAACTTATATAAAAACTATAATTTTTTTCACATTGGATCCGATTCAGGCTTCTAATTGGGCTTGCAAATTAATACAATCATCAGACGTTCTAAAATTCTGCATGTGGTCGATAAAATAGAAAAAATAGCTTTGATGTGTTGTATTCTTTTGACCCCCTGCAGTCCAACTCCTTCACAAGCTGAGCATCCATGCTGCAGACGGTCCTCAAAAACTCCTCAAGGTCGTCAAGAATCCCATTACTGACCACCTCCCTGTCGGCTGCCGCAAGATATGCAGTTCCTACAGCGCAGAGAAGTGCGTTAACCCCAGAGAGCTGGCAGAGTCAGATGAGCCTGTTGTCATAGTGATTGGTGCAATGGCTCATGGAAAGGTAAGGCAATCCCTCACCAATGTATGGCTTAAGATATATTCCCAAAGAAAGCTTGAATCCAAGGATACACTTTATTAGCATTTCAAGTAAATTAATTGATGACCTGACATTTTCTCTTGTGCCAGGTTTTATCTCGTCAAAAGTATGGGGTTGGGATAGAGTTGCAATTGGGTTTTAGGTTAGTTTAATGGTCAGGAATAAAGGTTTGAGTTGTTAGGCATATATTTTAGTCTAAGGTTAACTCTTTGTTTGCTGTAGATCGAAATTAGAGACTTCCCATTTTTGTCTCGCCTGCGTAGCAAAAAGCGAGACATAGGCGCCGCTTTTCCGGTGACGGCGGCGGCAGCGTCAACATCAAAAACTTAACCTAAGGTTAAGTTTTTGAATTTTTGATATAATTTTTAAAGTATAAGTTCTTAGTCAATGAAACTTTGACTATAGGGTAATCACGTATCCCCAATCATGTGAGTAGAATTTTAGATCACAAAGTCAAGGTCAAAGGTCATTTCAGTTCAACAGACTTGGACTATGTTGTAGCATCATCATCGAAAACTTAACCTAAGGTTAAGTTTTTGAATTTTTGATATAATTTTGAAAGTATAAGTTCTTAGTCAATGAAACTTGGACTATAGAGTTATCAAGTCTCCCCAATCATGTGAGTAGAATTTCAGGTCACTAAGTTAAGGTCAAAGGTCATTTAAGGTCAACAAACTTAGACTTTGTTGTGGCATCAACATCAAGATTTTCAAAATGCTTCTTCTTCGTTATTTTTCAACCGATTTTGATTCTGATTGTTTCGTATGATAGGGCTAGGAGGGGGATTTGAAATTTCTACACAGAATCGTGAAATTCATTATCTATGCTAATTTATGCAAATTTATTCAAAATCACAAAAAAGGCTTCGTCTCCTTCATTTCTTGACCGATTTTGATTTGGTTTGCTTTATATCGTAGAGCTAACTTTGGTACACTAAAATTCTACACAGAATTTTGAAATTGTTCTCCATTAATTAATTATGGTAATTTATGCAAATTTATTCCAAAAATAACAAAAATTGCTTCTTTTCCCTCATTTCTTGACTGATTTTGATTTGGTTTGCCTTATCTGGTAGAGCTAAATTTGGAACACTAAACTTCTACATAGAATTTTGAGATTTTGCTCCATTGATTATTTATGGTACTTTATGCAAATGAAATGAAATTATGTCCCTTCCAGGGCATCAAATTTTTATTTTTTGACCAGTTCAAAAGTGTACCACATAAAATTTATGATATTGTTGTTGCGAGATGTGGATGAGTGCCACGTCATTGACGTTCTGGTTTATCATATTGAATTGCGTTATGCAGGCGAGACCGCCGAGAGCGTTTCCCTTGTTTAAATTATATGGTACATGGAAAGCTGTGTGTCTGATGGAAGACAACTGTGGGAGTCCAGTGTTTGTTCAATCAGTCGGAAAGAGCTAAGCTTGGAAAATCAGTTGTCGGGAATCAACAGGAAATAAATTGTACCCAGGGCATTTGTCATAGAACCAAAATAAACACCCATTTAAACCTCAAAATTCTCTCTTAACACCTAGGTGGAGCCGGACTACACTGAAGGAGATGTATCCATCAGTCAGTACCCTCTGTCTGCTGCCCTCACATGTGCCAAGATCTGCTCGGGTTTCGAGGAAGCATGGGATATTGAAAGTCTTGCAGGAACGTAAAACTCCCATGGACGCCCAACCTATGAGACTTTCTTACGCACCCGTACAATATTACTGACAAACGTGAATTCATAAGTTGAGATCTGCCCTCAAGAGTGCCAAGATCTCGTCTTGATTTGAGGAAGTGTGGGAGGTTGGAACTTTAGCTTGAAAATACATCATGCACAGATGCCAAACATTTTGAAGACTCCTCCTTTGTGTACCTTTTCAATATCATCAACAACCATATAATCCCACTTGTCTGCAGCCCTTGACCCGTCACTGCTGTTTGTCATGGCATCAAGGACAACCCATTATTCCAGTTTGCCGTCTCATGCCCTCTCGTGCGCAGTCATCTGCATGGGGTCTGAGGAATATGCGATGTGGAAGCTGTAGATTCTGCACAGCTGTCAACATTAGAAACTGTTATATACCAGTACTGTACTGTTCCCTTCATTTAAGCTGAATATCAACCTGCCTACTGCCCTCTTGTGTGCAATGATCTACTAAAGGATTGTTCACATTATGACAATAATTGCAGTAGCTGTTTTCCCCTCTAAATGAATGGCCAGGGGGGATGGAAAAAGTTAGTTGCACACAACAAAGGTCCTTTACATACCGGTACTCATTTACCTCTGTTTTAGAAGATGCAGAAATGTGAAGTCCTCTATGTTAATTTTGCCCCAATGGTTTACCGCTGCATATGTAAACAAGGTTTAAGAGTTTAGGGAAGAGCGGGTTATAGAAATCCTGGAAGGGTGTTGATCTGTTTTGTAGACTTATAATTTCAGACTGTATTTTTTTTTGGGGGGGGGGGGGGGGATCATGGACTAGTCAAAATGGGCGAAATTCATTATTTTGACACAGGAATTCAAAGGTGTTGCTTTGAAAGAAAGCAATTAAAAAAAAAAAAAGATCAAGTATGAATGAAAGTTACAGAGATGTCAAATTTTGTGGTGGTGAACAAAAAATCAATATCCTCAAGTGTATAGGTTACACTGATGAACCTTATATTTACTGCAATTTAAATACAAATGAAACTGGTTACATCTAAATGAATTGGATGTCAACATATCGTTTTCTATCTTCACATTGTAACCAGGCATCTGTATAGAAAGAACAACTGACAGTGTAATAAAACCTCTGAAACATATTTGTGCTTAATTGCTGTTCTACAAGCAAAGGTCATATGAATGAATGATGGTGAATCTTGAATAGATTATGATAACTAGATAACAACAAGTGAATTTGAAAATTGTCAATCTCATAATGTATAATTCAAATATGGACCAATCAAGCCAATCTGCTTTTGCTCTTTTACTTTATGTGTCCTACTAGGGATTTATTATTATTCAGCTCTCTCCTAAATTACATGTACACAAGTGTAAGGCAGGGTTCTGTTTTACCTTCTTCTAGAGAATGTTCAAAAAAGCATACATGTATATTAAATGATAGCAAGTGCTTTTTATACATACAGTCATTACTAAGTATGTATGGGTCAAATGTTTGTGTCCATTCTGTTTTTGTGTGTGTGTGTGTTTGTTTTTTCTCATGACAGTCTTTGAAGGGGGTGGGGGAACTGGTTGACAAAAATAAAGTTTGACACATGGAAATTAACTTAACCCCCCAAAATATTCAAGGCTTCAAATAAATATCTTTCAAACTAATTTCAAAGTTCTACAATCGTAATTAGTAATAACTTAGTCTGCAAAGAAACAAACAAATAATTAGATGTTACCTTTCAGTACTCAGACAGTGCTAAATGTTAAGACTCGCTCATTCATACACAAAAATAAGATACAACATGAGTGCTCTCCATATTTAGAATACATAAATGTTTATTTCAATACATCAGAAATGACACACACTTTGAGATAGGAAACACATATTGTTCTTCTGATGCAGCTTCAACTTGTGCTGTTACTGAAACATTTTACGATATGGCAACCAGCTTCTCTGTGAACTGCGTATTTAACTAACTTTATAGAGTTTCTAATAATATTTCTTTAATATGTGGTTGCTCAACACATGCTCTTGCGACAATTGTTCCGTGGTCAAATTTATGAAATAACAGAATTTCTAACATCAACCCTAGATTTATATACTTAACTCTTACTCTAAACCTCACTTAAAACCCACTTGCAACCCCAACCCTAACCAAATATTTTGCGCAGGCATCAAACCCGGAGCAAACGTTGGATCGCAGTTACAAATGCATTCTTATCCCATAAACCATTCCCAGCTATTGCTTTCTAGGACAGTGTGGTTGCAAATTTCCTGTTAACAGTTATAATATCTTAAATATTTGTGCATAGGTGAAATCTATTGCATGTATATCTCTTATCAATTCAGTGGCTGTGCCATTTGCATAGGTAATGCAACACAATCTAAATTACAGTTGATCTTGCTAATTCGTCATTGCACAAGTCAAAACATCAGCTACGTTGATGCTCAAAGGTGGTTCTTTTCTCTCTCTCTCTCTCCCTCTGTTATTTGACAAGTCTTTTGGTCATTCGGTGTCGAAGATGTTATCAAGTATTCTCTGGACAAAATTTACATCACTTCACTTCATATTTGGTTTTGTCAAGAGAAGAACAAGAATGCCAGTCCCCCTGCTGGGCAAGCTGACTGGAATGTCTGTCTGCATCTACATGTTGAGGACCCTTAAAATGTCCAGAAACCTGAGATAAAATACCCTGAATTGTACTTTTATTTAATACAATAATCAGATGTAATGCAATCTGAGATGAAGTCGGTAGCATGTAGAACAAACAGCTAGGACTTGCCCAATTTAGTTTCATCCAATTCATGTCAACCCCATATATCGTAGTGTCGAAACAAATATATCTTGGAACATGTATAGCAGCATGAAGGTATCAAAAGGTGCAGACATTTTGAAGGAATAATGAGCTATCACAAGTACAGTACAGTACTTCTAAGCATAATACAACAAATAAAACAATTTATAAATATCTCAATTTACTTGTACATGCATATTAAACAAAATATTGTTAAGAAAATTAAGACGCTTTAAATGTTACATGATACTGATAGACTAATGAAATACATGGATGTTAATGCATATAAATAAATCTGACAGATGAAATTACAATAAATCTGAAATACAATATCAAAGTGCATCAATATCACCAACATTTTACAAAGAAAAATCACTTGCATACGTAACATCCTAACTATATATTGTAGCAAATATTGTTGAGATGGATATGGATAGAGTACTTTAGAAAATGATATTGCAGTGAAAATATATCTCATCTTAAGAAAGTTTAACAAGTCTTAAGAAACATGAGATGAAAAAGGACTGCTACACAGAAGTAAACCCTATGTACTGCTGTAGACCTGAATCAATCTCTTCATCTTTTGTTAGGATTTTGGGGACAGATCTAAGTGTTACAGTGTTTTTGAAAGCAAATCATCGGTCTCAAGAATTGTTCCGCTTTTTATGATTATAAACGTAGTATGACAGGCTTTTATCATGTGAAAGGTTGATCTGGACTTGTTTTTACAAGAAACATTTCATTTTTTACATTATACATTTGTGGCTCCTATATAATTTTTTTATTTTTTATTTATTTTTATTTATTTTTTATTTATTTATCTATTTATTTATTTATTTATTTTATTATTATTATTATTATTATTTTTTTTTTTGGGGGGGGGGGGGGGTCTTAGGCTCATTATGGTATCCCTGATATACATTCATTTAAATGAAGAGGCAAACTTTGTGCAATATCAACAAACTGATCAAACAAGCATAGTAATTTCTCTGACATAATAATTGGACAATATTAAAAGAGTCCTGAATAAATGATGCTAGAACTAACTAGAAATCATATTCAACATCCAAAAAAAAAATTGATTTGGCAATTAAAAAAAAAAAAATCTTATTGCATAAAACAGGACATGAAAACAAATTGGACAGAACAAAAACATTTCCATGGTTGCACTGAATATTGCAGATATTATATTTCAGCTACAATGCCACAGATGACCTTGAATGAATTTCATTTAAAGATTAATTTACTTTATGGTTTTATAATCCAAAGACATGCATAAGAGGCAGATCCAATAGTTTGTGACATGAGGGGAGGGGGACCATCAGCCAAAGGTCTCTGACGAGCAAAGAAATGTTAATTTGGGTCGGTTTAGAGGACGGAGTATGTTTTGGCTGTTACATTAAATTAGACTGATTTATATTAATCAAAATATTGTCATAATCCTCTTGTAATCCTATCCCTTATTATATGAAGATGTGGCAGTATACAAAGACAAGGCACATAACCGTAGAGAATGAAAGGCAGAAAAATATATATATATAGTAAAATGTAAATACTCATTCCACAACTATATATTTCACCTCAAAATAATCTCTGATCTCAAGAACTCTGTAAAATTCTTATTGCTGACATAGACAATATAATTGAAAGCTGAAAATGTTTGCACAGTACCTTCAATCAGACTTACCCGTAAAGAGAAAATTGAGTTCTGTTAACGTGAACAATTTTTTTTCAAATTATGGAGTCATTTGAAAGAACGTCGTTTCAAACATGTTATACAAGCATTTGCTATTTTTAAAATGCCAGTTTGAAAAAGTATTTTCATTTTTTGGTCCATAAAATGTGCGATTTCAGAAACTTTGGTTGCTAGTATCACTTGCCCCATTTAAATTCACACATGATTATCAAGGGAACCACACCACTGTGTATACGATGATAAGTCACAGATGCTTGTCCTAACACACTGCACACACAGTGGTGTGTGACAATATTTACTGGTAGATGGCTTGACTCGATGAACAGTTTGAATGACCAAGTTTCAAACTAATTCTTATTTGCTAAAATGATAAACTCCAAGAAATTTTTGATATATTGTAAAACAGTTTTGCATATTGTTGTGTTCCTGCATTCGATAAAATATAAGAATGCTTTCATCTTCTTCATTTCAATTTGTTTTCCCTTACCAAAACACTAACTGACCTTTAATCAAAGTTAATCGGCTTTGCCAATACTTCGTACTGATGGAGCAGTGAGATTATTATCTTGCATACCATTTCCTATCTGTTTGGACGGACTTGAATCCCTGACCTTCCTCTCACGAAGCACTACTTTTAAGAACTTGTAAAACCACATGATCTGCATGGCAAGAAGGGCCGCGCAACCCACGTGGCATATCGCCCTCATGGTTGAGAACGTGTCGTAGATGGAGAGCCCCTTGTTGTTGGCGTAGGCCCAGTACAGGAACGGAAAGAGTAAGACTCTACAGAAGAAGAAACTAACTAGGTAGGTAATGCTGTTCACTCTGTAGAGAAGTGTGTCTCCCATATCAAGCTGCAGAAAGAAATCAAATAGCAGTCATGAATATTTGAATTCCATTTTGTTTTTTTGTTTGTAAATAAAAGCTCATTCAGACAAAAGTCTGCAAAACTATTTTTAAATAAAGGAAAGATTAAGTCACCTGCTGGCATGTCGAATGAGATAAATGTAGAGAGCTTCACATTTGTGTACCCTGCACAAACAGGTCAATGAGTACACATAGGGCCATTGGTTTTGCAGAATTTTTACCCCCCCCCCCCCCTCATAATATTGCCTCGTGCCATTTCATGTATGCAACATTTTGCTGCACTGTTTTTTGCATTAGATTATCTTTGATCTACTTCATGCAATTTCTGGAATGAAAAATAGAGTTTCTACAAAGGAAACCTGGTTCGAGTGTTAAATAGGACTTTGAATGCCCAAATCTCCAATATAATACACCAGTTATACCAACAAAACCATTATCATAGTAACAATAGACCACACATAATATAATATTATCCTGAATGACCAAAGATTTTGTGAGAAAGAGGTCGGTGTCTAGACGGTCTGTGACTGACTATTAAACTACGATTATCTGTGGTGGTGGTAGTGGTTATTTTACCCGACTGCTAAGCAAGCATAAATGCTTGTTAGTAAGCAACCGAGGGACCTGGTAATGAGGTTTAATGCCTTTCAAAAGGGCACTGGCGCATCGACTTGGTTTCGAACCCGGTCGCCAGATTACGAGACCACTGCTCTACCAACTGAGCTAACGCGCCTCCTCCAAGTTATAAGTAGAAAAAATAATCAAAAGTATATACATAATACAGCAAAACCTGTCCATAAAGACCACAGAAGGGAGTCAAGAAAAGCGGTCTTTATTAGCAGGTAGTCCTTCTGTACAGGTTAAGTACATGTTGCATACACTATTCATAGACAGGTGGTTGCTAAAACAGGTTTGACTGAATACAAAATACCTTAATGAGGATGGTTCTTATGTTGATTGCTGGGGTGCTTAACTCTGCCAGGAAGAAACAGCCCACAAAGAAATCACCCTTTCCATTGCGAAGAAGCTAATAAAACAAAGTGGATTAATAAATAGGCATTTCATGAATCTAGAATCTAGAATACATCTTGTCAGGGTTTCTTAAATGATGCATCAGACTGTCCAGAAATATACATAATATATACAAAGAGTTTCACCAATTTCATGGTTCCACTAAATAATTCTGGGGGTTTCTCGTTTTACATTTTACAAATGTTTTACAAAGATATATGCACATTGAATATTACTGCTATGATACTCACATCATTCATTATATAAGCATTAATTATATATTGAAAGATAATAAACATGAAAATAAAATAAAATTTAAACTTGAAAAAAAAAAAAATCAAAAAATCTGAGCATGTACACACTGCCAAGCCCTGCATGCACACTTACTCATCACTTCCTAATCATCAAGATCATTATTACATCCTACTTCATCTCATAGATGATTACTTGTTAAAAATACACTAATCCACAGTTCTTGAGTTGAGCAATATCCTATTTCTATCGATCGAGTGATCAAGAAGATTTTAAATAGACATGATACATGCAGAATCACTGGTAATAGATACAAATGAGTGAACTCAATAGGGACATTTTGTATCACGAGAACTGCATTGCTTGGACATTCTAATATTTAGACTTCAAACACACTGATTAAGTTCATGTTTTGACATCAATGGAAAAAAATGGTATATTCTACTTGGTAGAATGAAAAACTACAATCATAATAAAAGTGTTCATTGTATTCATACTTATAACGAAAAGTTGCTGACTAGACCAAAACAAAAAACAAAACAGCACAGCATGACACAGTAAGCACGGTACATCACAAACCAAAATAAAATAAAACACCTTCTTTATGCTTGTGCTTAAATATGCTGTTCCTTTATGTCTGTCATGACGTATGTACCTTGTTTTTATGCACAGAAACCATCACTTTGTTGAAAGGCATCCTTTTGAATAAATGTTTAAATACCTTTAAAAAATAACTAAATAATTAAATTAATAAATTAATTAATGAAAATCAATAAAAATGGATAAACAAACAAACAAATAAATAGACACACTGACACACAAAGGAATAACTAATTAATGATAATTTACACAGCTAACAGACTGGTAAACAATCATATCTCTCCTTACCATTACAAAAGGGTAGAACACAGCTGCCAGCACAAGATGATGAGATACTAGTACCCACTGCTTGTTCAAGAATGATGCTATTGCCTTTCTGGTGGGGGCATCATTCAACTTTTTTTCCTCCCGATGAACGATATACATAGCACCAATATCGTAGATCATGTACGGAACTCCGAAGCTGCAATAGATATCAACTAGCAAGCATCTTTCAAGTAAGAAGTAAAGGAAAGGAAAGAGTTCTAAGATTTTTTTTTTTTTTTAAAGGATTCTTTACTTCTGAAATGATCAAAAGGACGAATAACATTGCATATTTTTAATATTTTGCATTAAAATAAGTGTCACCAGTTGTTTGATTTATCTAGTTTTTTCTCCTTTAATACTTTATTAATCAATCATAAGAATTCCAGCTACAGTCAAACCTGCTTTAGTGACCACCTGTCTACAAAGGCCACATTTTTTGTTTCCCTTGAAAATGGTTTCTCATTGAATCATGTACTAAAGGAGCCTGTTTACATAGGCCATTTTTTGTGTTTCCCTTGGGTGGTCGCTATAGAGAGGTTTGACTGTAATTCAATCCTTATTAGCTTGTTCCTCCATACCTAGTGTATATCCATTAAAGGCCGTCACTGACAGGTGGCTATCTCATCAACTCAGCTCTCAATTAATACAAGAAAAAGAGGATCATGGGGGACCAACAGGAACCAATTAGGCATTGTTTTCTATATAGAGAGAGCAAGTAGCCACAAGTAGTACAGTTGGGCTTTAAGATCTAGACGAAAACTAAAAATTGACTTACCGGCTGAAAAGAACATCTTGATAAGTTTCCCTGATAATGTTGATACCCACAACTATAGCAAGAAGGGCTTGAATGATAGATGTACATCTATTAAAAAGAGTGAGAGGTAGAGACAGAGAGAAGAAAAAAACAACTAATTATACCTTTTATGTCAAATCTGGGTTGTATAATTTTGTTTACTAAAACTATATCACAAAAGTCATTGACTACCGGTACTAAATGCATCTTTTCAACAAATGTGATGTATTTTCTGATATAAAACTCTCATATATTATGAACAAATGAATACAGCACACCAAATATCAATCATCTTTTATTTTCACCCTAAATTAGGCTTGTCTGGTCATGAGAAGAACAAAAAAGAAATGATAAAGAATCAAACAGATGGTAAATAAGAAATAAGAAAAATAAAAGAAAGAGAAGATCTATACAAAGACATTAGGAGAAGAGGAAGGAGAAGACAATAAAGAAAAAGAAGAGAAAGGAGAAAGTGAAGTAGGTGAAGAAGCAGAAGAAAAAGAAAAAGAACACAAACGTCAAAGCAGGCGCAGAAAAAGCGAACGTACAACCGAAGAAGAAGAGAAACTAACCAAGGAGAAGTGAATAAATAAAATCAATAACACGTTCTTTCATTTGTATTGCATCAAATTATAATTAAGCCCTTATACATGTAGAGTGTTATTTGATTAACAATTAAGCATTTATGAGCTTATATAGTTATATTCCAATACAGACTCGAAGTCCACATTAGGCAGTTAGTGGGACTGAGCAATTGATTTTGTACATGAACATTCCCACAATAAACAGATGATTAGTGGAAAACATTACCTTAATGCAATTGCTGCACACGACGCTTCGACATCATTTTTACTCTTTGAAAACAGTGAAAATGAACATTTACGCACAACTAAAAAGACAGACGGGAAGAAAATAGATCCTCCCACAATCCAGGCAACGTCTGAAGTCATCCCGTTTTAACTTATTAACGTTGTCAATGAAGCCGACACACATCATGACGTCAGCGTGCCAAGTGCGAAAGGGGGAACTCCCGAACTGTGTGTAAATCCGAGAGCGAGGCATCGAGCGTGTACCTGTGTACGAATCGAATCAAATCAGGTTAAATCAAGATCATTGAAATAAACTGTAATCATATAAACTGAAATAAACTGAAATAAAATAAAGTCATACAGATCACATCATATTAAATCAAATCAAATTAAATTGAATTATTATTTTATTTTTATTTTTAATGGATTTTATTTTATTTTCTGCATTTTCGCAAATATAATAACGGAATAACAAAGAACATATTAACGTAATGATAATAAAAATATACATACAATAATAACTTTATGTCAACTTGTTGTTTACATATATAATTAATTACAAAATTAATATTTCTATAACATTATTGTAAATTTAAATTATTCGAACTGTCTATCTGTGGAGAAAGTACAGAAGACCACAATCATATAGCGATGCTTGACTATGATGGCGGCCTTAAAATCAAATCAAATCTATTCTAATATAATCTTATTTAATAAAATCTCAGTAGTCAAATCATGTCAAATCGAATCGAATCGCTTCAATCAAATCAAACCAAGTTAAGTCATTGACATATTAAGTCAAATGAAATGAAAATCATATCAAATCAAATCAACACAAATCGGAGAACAATGTAACCTATTCAAATCAAAATGATAATGAATTCAATTAAATGATTTTTGGGATAAAACAAAAGACATGTATTCGTTACTGTTTAAAACATTTCATGAACTAGCACCTAAATATATGACGGATAAATGTGTATTTAACGAAAAGAGTTACGGGCTAAGATATAATGACAATTTAATGCTTCCAAAACCAAGAACCAATCAGTGTAAACGCCGGTGTAAACGTACATTCTTATATCGTGAATGTGTGTTATACAATGAACTACCTCTTAAGCTCCGTCAGTTAGGCACACTAAATTTGTTTAATAAACATGTTCAAAAGTACTTCAGTTATTTTGATATTTGAATTTCGCAATCCCATTGGCTTTTGCCATAAACATAATCAATTTAATAACAGACTAAATTAGACAATGTGTAGAATATTTTAAAACTAATTAAGTTAACATTAACATTAACATTAACATTAACATTAGGGATGGTAGGAGATATTTGAATAGATTTTAATGATGTTTGTTAGTGTTTTTTGTTTAATTTAATTTAATTTAGTTAAGTTAAATACAAGTACAATGTTTTTTAATTAAGACTTACTATTTTGTTATATCATTACTTATTATAGTATCATTATATATATATATATATATATATTGGAATCCATGGAAGAACAGAGCCATTAGGTTAATGGGTCTGAAATGGACTATCCAACCGTATTGATCATTCTATCATTGTTATATAAGTCTTTGATTTTGTTATATTGTGTTATTGTTTTTTATGATCATTTTCGGAAATAAAACAAAAGATGTAATTCAAATTAAAACAAATTAAATAAATGTTTTAAAAGGCCCGAGAATAATTAGGCCTATATTTATCAAGTCAACCTATATATACATTATGTTCAACATTCCCCCCTCACTTTTCTTTAGTTTTAAAACTGTAACCAAATGTAAAGGACATTTTTTTTCATTCGTAGCGGGTAGGCTACGATACACTGTCAGAATGATATATTATCGTTTATGTAGAATGATATAATAAAAGCAGTCGTCCCTATGGAAAGGAAGCCCATTCAATCCCATTTGTTTTCCCTCATCCACTCTCAGGCTTTGTCCGTCCGTCTCAATAATTATTAAATTTATCCCTCCGTGTTCATTCCCGTTTTGATTTCGGCCACTTTAAAACAAAACTAGGTTCAGGGCTTTCGCGTTTTTGAAGCATGTGCAAGGGATGTGCTATAGGATTTTTAAGGGGAGGTGTTTTTTTTCCCCAATTCATGAGAAAACTATTTAGTGGCGAAACAGCCAGCCGGCGAATAAGCGGGGGGGGGGGAGCACTAATTATGTTTGTGAACACTCTTTTTTTTCCCCCTCAACATCAACCTCTCCCCCCTTGAGCCAAAAAACAAAACAAAACAAAACATTTTAAACTTTTTTTTGCCGGGGGGGGGGGGCATAGATAACACACAGATAAAGGGCATCTTGACATTCTAACACACCCCCTTTTGCCAGGGGGGGGGGGGTGTTTGAACACCTAAAACACCCCTGTTTGCCAAGGGGTGGGGTGCTTGAACACCCAAAACACCCCCCTCGATACGCCAATGAGCATGTGCATACCACTCCCCTCCCCGTCTCCTCTCTAAAACTAAAAGAATGTTTTTGTTCTTGAAAACTTGAATAATTAGAAAGGATGCAGGCACGGAACGACCAGCACTGCTTTAATTTACTCGATCGATAGGTCAACGGAAATAATGATCTTGTCAGAAGGGAGCTAGGCGCTACCATGAGAAGGGGGGGGGGGGGGATACTTTCGAAGGGATGGTTGAGTGACGGTGAAAGGCACTTATTTTTATACAACAAAGAAAGACAATGAAATATTATTTTTAAAAATCGGTTTGATTTAAAAGGAATTCTCTGTTTAAGTTAAATACAAAAACAGGTTCTTTAAAGATAATTATGTTCCTGCAGCCAATATCGCATTATGTAGAACTTTGCAGGAATTATGGATATGTCATGTATGTCCTATCTGTAAAATTTAAACGTTATCAGTGTCCGAGTATTCAAATTTCACAAGGAAACCCGTTTACTTCCTAGACTTCCTTGTCAGACACTATTGACTGACATTTTTTGTTGTTGGTAATAACATACATGAAATGAGCTGTAACAGGTACATGAGCATTACAGTCATCAATACCTCATTACCTGTAATGGCCAAAATTAAACTGATTGAATCTTTGTGCAGCATAAAACGTACGACCATTCGATGCAAGGGTCTGAAAATCAAACTATTACTTAAGTGATTGAAATCACTTATGTCGGTTTGACAACTAATGGACGTTATTTTCCCACAAAAAGCCATTTTCAAACTCTTTTGTTTTGAGGGAAGTTCTAAATAAGTATTGTTTTTCAAATGCCGTTGGAATTTAATCTTTTCATTTTGTTGACCTGCAAATGGGACATGGAACCTTTAAATAAGACTAAAAATCCTTTTGAGTGATAGTCCAGCTCTTTGACATGACTCCTGAAGCGAAAATAACTATTCTTTAAGGACATCCAAAAAATGTCATAATTATGTAAGATTGATTTAATATGATTATTTAGATTACGTCATCTATATAGTACGGTCCCAAAGGAACATAAAGATGAAAAATCCCTGAAGACTTGGATTTTAATCAAAAGGGATTCTCTATTTTAATTTGTTTCCAGTAATTAGTGAGTGGGGCCAGCTTTAATAGCTGCCGGGGCCAGAAAAAAGGGGGGAAACATCACATTAGGGGCCTGTGGCGAGGGGGTGGGGACAGTGTAGACAAATACTACCCCCCCCCCGCCACATGTTCCTTTTTTTATTTACGCGAAATTCTTTGACCAAGTAACGCCTTTCCCTTCCATCAAGAACCATACATGATATTACATTTTTATATCGGGCTTTCCCGCCAAAATATTTAAATATTTATTGTGATAATTGGATCGACTTTTTCATACTTGACTTTAATTGATTTATGGGTTGTATTGGTTCTTTTTTGTAGTCTCTTTTCGGCTCTCTCTCTCTCTCTCTCTCTCTCTGACTGTCACTACCCCCTTCCTTCTCTCTCTCTCTCTCTCTCTTTCTCTCTTTGCATATTTCACACCAATCTTTATCACTGGTGCTATCTCACTCATACCATCTCCGCAAATCTTCTGCCCATCATCCCTCATGGTTATTCGGACTGAAAAAAGGTATCGAATGAAATTATGTTTGATGGATTAAACAAAATTGCTAGCCTTTGTGTACTTTGTTCACTTTGTTCAGAAGTTCATTATTGTTTTGTATTCATTGAATTTACTTCTTAAAGCTCCAATTCTTTTTGGTACATACCATAGTTTATACAAAACTGCAACATAATATAACAAAGCTTTTTTTATCATTATGATAGATGATAAACAAACATAAATACAACATAATTCATTGTTCATTATTTCACAATGTAGGTTATATAGTAGGACGAAAATATATCACAAAAAGACAAAATAGAAAGATACTACCGCACGGCACAGTTAAACTAGAACAAAACAATGCTCTTTTCAGAAAAAGACTGAATACTTAAACAAAATATACAAAAAAATAATGAGTTTCATATTTCTCAACATATAATTATACCTGAAATAATTTTTTTGAGTTTGTCTGTTTTCACGATCTATCCCAAAACACTCTCCCTTCCGTTTTTCCTCTTAATAACTCCTTGGACTTCCCTCCCTTTCAGAACATATGAGAAATGAAATGTATAGTGGTGTAAATGGTTTGTTAGAATACTACTAGTGATAACGATAATTATGATAAGAAGAAGAAAAAGAAGAAGTAAGCGAAGAATAAGAAGCAGAAAATATTGAAGTACAAAGCAGAGAAGCAGAAGCAGAAGAAGGAGACGAAGGAACAGTTTAAGAAGAAGTAGAAGGAGAACTTGCGAAGAAGAAGGAGAAGGAGGGGGAGAAGAAGAAGAAGAACAACAACAACAACGACGACAAGGTAAATAAGGAGAAGGAGAAGAACAAGAAAAAAAAACAACAGGAAAGATAAGAAGAAGGAGAAGAAGAAAAGAGAAAAAGGGCACAGTGAAAATACGTGCTTTAGTACAGTAGAGTTTGACTTTTTGAGGATACCATACGTAGTTTCCTGTTGATTTGATTTGTGTAGCTACAACATGAACGTAACGTGTACAATCGCTCGAAGACGACGGAAATATCACCACTTTTGCTTCTTTCGTGGTAAGGACTTGCACAATTTTTACATATATATGATTAAGAATAATAATACAATTCATAACATTTGTAGTAGAATCTCATAGTATTGCTCAATATGCTATTTCGATTCTGAAATTTGTGTGTGTATATTTTTGTATTCGGCGCATCTGAGCTGCGGCGTCCATAATTTGGTAGCGGTTTACCAGACCCCCTGCAGCCATAGGCTTCGGCGTGGCTCGTCACTATGCACACAGCGCCGATTCAAATGAACTTGGCGCTCAAGCATTTTCACCCTCCTCGTTCAGCTCAGCCCTCTAGGCTCTAGCCTACCTCGTTCAGCCTCAGAGGACAACAGTGTTATCATATAGTTTGATATGCATGATAATAATGCCTGAGACAACATTCATTATTTAACCCATCATTTGATTTTGAGAAATGGGCTAGACTAGACGTTCTAGGTCTAACTGTTAGTCACTAGAGACTAGAGTCTAGTTCTAGTCAATTTAACTTTTGCAGACTAATGAAAATCAAGTCACTCATATTCAGTTAGTTTTCTTAAAATTAAAGTAAACGTTTAAGTTAAAGCTATAATAGTTGAGTAAATTTAATGCACCAGTTTACGGTCATGGGCGCCATTTTAATTTACGAGTAAACAAACCAAATGACCTCTAGAGGTCAGTGATTTATGCGTAAATTAAGATTGCGCCCATGCAAATTATGATGACATCACTGCCTGCGCGCTGCGTTGTGCGCTTACATCATAATTTGCATGGGCGCAATCTTAATTTACGCATAAACCACTGACCTCCAGAGGTCATTTAGTTTGTTTACCCGTAAATGAAAATGGCGCCCATGTCTGCGCATGCACACTGTTGTAAACGTAAATGGTGTATATTACCTACATGTAGTCTAGTTTTTGTTTTTGATGTGACTGATGTGACATGATATTCTGTAAATATCCAGGCAGATTCTCAACTCCTTAACCTCAAGTCTGTTCAGCCTAACCTTTCATTTAAGGGCATACGGCCAAGGACTTGGTAATAATAATAATAATAATATTAATAATATGATAATAATAATAATAATAATACACAACATTTATTAGGCTCTTAATACGGGTCTCTCTAAGCGCACCATAGTCTGAATTAAAATTATTTACCAAAACTTAATAAACACACAACTTATACATCTGTTCTTTATTCAATAAATCATGCATACAGTGTATATAATAATAAAAATAGGAACGAGAACAAACATACATACACATGTACATAAGGTCAAAAAAAGGATCAAACATAATAATGATAAATGATTCAGAGTTGATATCAGATTATCACCCAAACTTTTTTTTTATTCCTAACTCATTTGAATAAATGCAGTTTTACTATAACTACTTTTTTTTTTAATCCAGTGGAGTTGTGACTAAGGGCACGGCTATGTCTTGGCTCCTCTTCTCACTGATAGTATCAATTTCATATTAAAGATGTCTAGCTAGTGAGCTCTTCGTGAAATGGTTTAGGAAGATCAGAGACATCTCTGTATTTGGGGGATAAAGTTATGACTGTCTTCGAGAAATAGACCCCATGTTCCTCTGTAAAGGGTGATGTACAATGTACACAAAATCTCAAATGTGGATGTATGTAATCACCCAATCTCGCACACTACAAATCTTCCAAAATCTTCAGAATTTTCTAGTGGACTCTTCTTTCTATTTGTACAAAGCACTTTAAAATCGGACAAGAATTTAACCAAAAATGTGGCAATTTGTTACTGGAGTGATAAAGCTTGCCAAAATTGCTGATCTCTGACAAGAGTTCGCGATGTCGCTCCTGCTGGTAACGCAATTACTGTACATGCAGTGTATGTGAAAATGGTAGTTTTTGAGTTGCCAATATGTCCCTGACTTAACAATAATAGTTACTTGTAAGTGTACTTTGGCACGTACAGGGAATTCGCTCAATTTAGCGACACTCTCCGCATGCCTTTTAAAACTAATTCTGCTAAAATAGTGTTAATTAGCTTGATCCTGTACATGTAATTTATTGGATTTTTACATTATGAATGCTGATATGATCAAGGTACATTCTCATTTTCATGAACTGCTTAATTTCATTTCAGGATACACATGCAAGATGTACGGTACATGTAATGTACATGCTGCAATGCTGATGGTAAATTCAAAATGAATATTGACTGACCAGTATCATTTCCAAGTGGTGCTTATCTTATCAACATGTCTTCACCTCCAAGAAAATCAGCCTTCAGGGCTCCCCCTAGCAGAGTCACTGCTGAGAGAAAGTCTCCAGCGCCATCTACGGAGAGAGTACCAAAGAAAAGTGCTTTCAGTGCCAGCGCCCCACCTAAGAAAGTTACCGGAGGAGGTGGTAAAGGATCGCTCTTGGCGGGGGAAGTCCTCAAGCGACGTCTCGAGAGATTGAAGCAAAACTCTAATTCTCAGAATCAAAATGGTGCTAAACCCAAAAGTGGAACTCCGTCTGTGGAGAGTTCTTTAGGAGATAGGGGACTTAGAACGTTTGCAAGTGGTAGTAATAACAGGGTAGACTCGCCACACTCCACACCTACCCCCGTAAACTCTAGTACTCCATTGTTTGTGCGTAGAATGAGTGATAATGACCCAAGACGGCACTTGATCAAAAGCAGTATCCCTAGTAAACGAAAGGCTAGTTATCCCTCACAATCTGCAAGGTCATCATTCAGTATTGGTCCTTCCCCGCTTGCAGCTACGGATATTAAACCTAAAAGAACAACAACAAACTCTGAGATATATGATAGCGTCAGTCAAAGTTCCACACCAAGAGGGAACACTGTTAAAGAACAAACGAATGCTGCTGTGAGCAAGAAGAAAACAAGACCCAAATCTTCATCGCCAAAAACCAAATCTTCATCACCCAAAACCAGTATTGGCTTCTCAAGCCGGGACAACAGAACTTCAAGGACAACTCGTCGCGACAGCGACTTAAGCCGGACCTCTACTCCAGATCGGATGATACGGGTCATATCTCAGGAAAACAGTGATGAAGGTCATGTGCCATCAAACCCCAAAGCCTCTTCTCTTCCTCGAAAAAACTCCTCCCAAAGGGAAGACCTCTCCGGAGGTCATCCTATTGGGGAGGGGTCATCTCGGGATAGGAGGACCAGTGAAGATATCCAGGACCATGTCAGAGAAAGTAATGGTGATCGTAAACATTCCTTCTTGAGCAATAGCTTTAATGAAGACAACAGCACAAATGTGGAGCTTGAATTGAGAAGTTTGAAGTCGGAAAGCGATAGCAGTGTAGCGAGCGAGAGAACACGTAGCAAAAGGAATATCAAAGAGAGTACCAGTACTGAAAGAAGGAAGGATGTGAAGAGTTCTGGGGGTCGGAGCAAGAAATCACCTCGAATGCAGGAACAGGTGAGAATTGTTTTCCTCTTTTTATATTTTCTATCGTTAATTTTAAATATATTTTTAGTCATATACATGTACAATGCGAGTCACAAAGTCAAAAACCCAGATTCAACCTTTAATATAATTGCAGTCAATGAAATCTGATTTAAAACAAAACAAAAACATCCATCTCATTGTAGGGTATTGGTACACGTTCTTTCATTTGACACTATGAACAATAAAAATAAAATCTGGCCGTCGACAGCTGAATGATAGCACCTGTCCTGATTCTTTTCAAATATGACTCTGCCTAAATTTTCATTGAAACCAACGGTCAAACCCTGCATTTGGTTGAATGGAATGATAACCTTTCCAATTGAATTCACTCTTGCCTAATGACAGTAACTACTGAGCACCATTCATCTAACACTTGGGCACAGGCAAGTTTAATAGACATGCATTTAACAAAAATCACCTGTGCTTTTAATACCGGTAGTCATCTGTAATTGCAATTTAATTCCATAAGAAGGAAAAGAGGGCATTGTCAAGTCAACTGTCACAACACTCATAACATTATACACCTGTACAGTACATTGTTTATGTTTCAGCAATATCACAGAGTTATTAAGATTTATTTGGGGGGCTTGATATGGTTTTCCTGTTTTTCTTTTACTCTCATTGTACAGTATATTTGATTTATTCTTCAATGTAAAGCAGGTTTACAACACTTTTAGGTCTTGGGAGTGACTTTGAAATAAAATTATAAAAGTCAATTGTCAAACTTAATTTAGAGCAAAATAGGAAAGAGGAAAGAAATATCATTTTTTTTTAAATTCTTCGTATTACTCATAGTGTATTCATGCCTGTCTGTGACTGTGCAGTATTCAGTGCATGGAAGGTTTTTATTACATCAGTCATACCACTATACTCTTGTGGAATTTCTTGCTGCTGAATAGCTTCAAATTGAACTGATGCTATTTTGAGTGTAGGCATTATCTGAGCATCACTCCCACTTTAATTTAGAAGCAATTTGAAGTGAACAGCTGAGAAGAGGAAGATACTCACTTCCAGGCATTGTGTTCCCTACATTATTTAGCCTACAGTGTACAAGACCCTGTAGATGTATTGTTGGATGCTACATAGATTTATTTCTTCCTTAAATTGTAGACCTTTTTTCTTTTAATGGTAAATTAATTTTTGCTTCATTTTGCTTATATTGTTTTGGTTGGTAACTAAATGTGTAGGTTACATTTGAAATCATTCTTTGCTCAGTATAATGCTATTTTCTATTGTCTGTTTAAATTTGAAAGAGCTTTGATTCATATCGATTTACATGTTAAAAAACATTCAGAGTAAATAGGTTTAATTATCAGAGAGTTCAGTTAATTTATTCCTCGGAATCTGCTTTTCGAACATGCTTTTACAATGCTATTTTCATTGCAATGACGACCTTCGTCATTGCCTTGTTTTCGTTCACATTATTAATATTCTTACTTCTTCTTCCTCTTCTTCTTCTTGTCGTCCGGAATCCCATTCGTTTTGCACGTAGTGTTTGTTATTCCTATCCAGGTCCTTTTCTCTTGCTCGATTCCTTTCAAACTTCGTAGGCGTAATCTCTGATATCCAATCTAGGTCACCTACTTTTTCGTTTTTTGAAATCGCTCATGCGTAAACGTCCAGGCGCCATTTTGTTCGTTTCTGGTCCATTTTAAGGCCTTTCTATCTTCCTTCCTATCTCCAGTATCCTAGATCCTACAAACTTCTAACAAATTCCTCTAGATAGTCTGAGAGATGTTCTTTAATCTGGGATGTATAACTTGCCCTTCAAAATGCCATCTTCATACTCAAAATTCAAATCTGAAACCATCTCCGTCAACAATCTCTCAAATTCTTGAAAAATTGACCCCTAAATAATCTAAAACTGCCATAACTTTCTCATATAAATTCTGTTTTGTATTTAAATCACACAGTATCTTTATCTTATAATTGCACATAGCCATGCCAAATTTCACGTTTCAATGGCTTTGCAAAAAATAAATAGCGCCCTCTAAAGTTCTGGGAATTGGCTTTCTTTCTGTAACCGTACAGTATCTCCATTATGGCTTGGCAAACCCGTACCCTTTTTTGGATTCAGATACTTGGAGATATGCCCTTTCCAGCCATATACAAATTTATATACCCTAACACTGACCGACTTTCAGAAAAATGCCCTCCAAATTCGCCATTTTCAAGAAAATTCCAAAATAACTTAAACTTGCTCTAAAATGTCGATCATTATACCTAACTCAATGAAACTTGGCACACATATGTATCTATATACCTGTACGTGACAACTGTCCGCCAAGTTTGGTAAAATTTGAATGTGTCAGCGCAAAGTTATCGCCAAAAATGTTTAATTTACTATGCATTACGTAATAGCGCGTTTAATGCGTGCAATACATTGCGCGAAGATAACAATGGTGTCAAACTGACCGCAATGAAGTGCCCTTTCTAATGATACCAAGTATAGTATATGTTTACACAGAAAATTGTGAATAAATCGCATTTGAACAAAGGTCACTATAGGTCACGAGTTTCCGCCCGAATCTAACACGTATCGGCTATGACGTCATTTTTTCAGACTGCTTTTTGCCCCCTAAACGTCCTTCTTTTTCCTTGAAAATTTGCAGTGACATGCCGAGTCCAATACGCAGGGCACCTCATGGCCGGATTTTTAAAATTGGTCAATGGGGCCATTTAAGACGCCATTTTGTCCTATAAATCTATTTTACATCACCTGTTTCGATAGGATTATCATAGAAAAAAAGAGAGTGGTTTACAATAACAATCATAAAATTCTCTTTCTAATGATACCAAATACGGCCCATAAAGAGACATAAAGAGAGAGAGAAAAAACAATTTAACTCCGGTCATAATACAGATCCTGTACGTTTTCCGCTCATGCATTACACGCATTGTCTATGGGGGCATATCGGGTTCACACTTTTGACCCCCAGAACGATCTTGATTGCAATGACACACATGCACCAAATCCCCTTGGTTTTTGCACGCAGTGCTTGCGAGCCCTTTCTACGTCCTTTCCCATATCCCAATTTCTTTCAAACTTTGTAGGCATAGTCACTACCATCCCATCAAGGTCACTGTTGAGGCCTTTCTTTCGCCCTACCTATCTCCAATATCACGGAAGCTACAGACTTCGTACAAATTGCTCTGGATAGGGCGAGAGAAGCTCTTTCGTTTGACACGTAGAAACATGGCGTCATTGCACGCACATCGTTGTGACATGATTGCATTTCTAGTTGTATCTTCCTATTGTTTTGCAAATCTCCTAATTAATGAGCAACTTTTGTAAAAGAAATTAAGCATTAAATGTAGAACACCACCTAAAAAAAAAGAGCAAAAATGAGTGTCCTTGGGCAGGTCCAAGCTATTTGGATTGTGACGTACGGGACATTCAGAGACTTTAAACAAGAAATAACAATGGATGAAATTATTTATATGGCTATCTTTTGGTATGAGTCTGTGGCTATTATGGGCTAGTTCATTTGTGGAAAGTTTTAGTTCTGACCAGTTCATAAATTAATTTTTAATGTAATTAATGTGCTGCGTGACGTACGGGACCAGAGAATTTCTGACTTTTTCAAAAATAAGTTTGTCGTAAAAATTCTCTGAATTTATTAAGTTATGAGATTTATGGTAATGATATCTTAATTCATTATGGAATCAAGCATTAATCACAACTATAACCATATTTTTCTGACCTTCCGTTGTTATGTAATATACCAAAACATAAATGTGTGTATGTGACGTACGGGACACGTGACGTACGGGACAACTTTTCCCTATGGGAAAATGCATTGAAATGAAGAATTTTCGTCAAAATTTGTTAAATATGAACAATTTTAACTTAAATCAGTGACAATTAGAGTGTTTTAGAACCCAATTAGATCCTCTGACCATCACTCAATATCCTCTGTGTTAATTTATGAGGTAAATCAATACAAATATTACTTTAATAAAGAAAACAAATTAAATTACTTTCATACACACACACACACACTATATTACCATTTTTATTCCATTTACCCATCTATCATGTGCAGTCATGTTTCTTTTTCTAATTTCTTTCATCCATTCCATTCAACAGTGCTACATGTACACTGTACATGTAAATGTTTTTAAATAATAATTAATGAAGAAGATGAACTTGAACTTGAAAACTTTTATTAAAACTTGTTTGAAACACAGGGGCACACTCGGCACATCATATTTTGTGAACAAAGATACAGTACATTACAAACATGAAATCTTTTCTTCATAGCTGGTTTGAATTACTTGATAGTAATATCATAGAATTTTGAAGGAATTCAAAGATAACGCTGAACATATTGTCTTATTTTAATCTTTTTATCACAGATTAGAACATGTACATGTATATGTTGCTGTCATATATTCAAGAATTTTAATGTTCCGGTACATTAATGTACATGTTTGTGAAAGATGGATACAAAAATATAAATCTTGAATGTATTTTGTATTGATTAAAGACATCTTATTAACACCACCAGATATAACCCTAAAGGTTTGTGTGACCTTTCCCACAATTCAAAAGATTAAAGCGTAATTCAACAAAAATGCATGGGTGTGAAAGTGATGAAAATCCTAAGTGGGTGAGAGTGAGAGAGGCTATCCTTCCTTAAAAGTTATGATTTAGTTTTTAGGAGATTAAAATTCCTGAGCTGGCTCCATAACATGTACATACATGTACTATTATGATTTACATATTTAGCATCCTGCCAATGTTGGGGACATCAACTGGCAAAATACCAAAGTTGATAATACCAGGGGTCTGGCTTGAAGACTAATTACATCAATAAATATTCATAATTATGACACATGCCTTTAAGACTAAAACAATAACAAAAACAACAGAACGAGTAAATTCCTAGAAGGGACCCAGTTGGAATGTTCATATCCCTGTATACAACAAGTTTCCTAACACATACATGTATATATTCTCCTTTTGG